ATTATATATGTGGTTCCTTTAAAGAACTGATGGATAAGTGGAAAGTTTGATTTTAACTTTAATTACCTGTGCTTCTGATGGTTTTTATTAGATGTGCTGAGGCCACCATTGTGTCCACGGCTCTTCATGGAATTTCATTTTAGTTTTGCCTTTCTTGCAAAAAAAAATTCTATTTTTTTTTTCTTTCCCTGATATCTTGCAGCAAAGGTCTTGACTGTAATGCACATGCACTCTTGCAGACGTGTAGGTGTATTTTGTACAGATTTGACTTTGAAGATATTATTCTGTTTTTCTGTTGGGTAACTTGAGAATTCATTGAATAACTGGGCCTTCTATCTGAGGATACTATCTGAAATTTTGATGAAAAATTAAATGAGCCACTCTAAGGAATGGCACAAATATATGCATTCTGCCTCAAAATGATCAAAGTACTGGGGGAAGGTTAGCTGGGGAGGTTGTATATGATGCAGGTAGGCTTTAGAATTAGAGTTCTTTCATAAGGCACAGGCCCAAAATACTTGTAATTATTGGGCTCTTCTTAACTTTCTATGCCGTAAAACCAAGAACTGAAAGTCATTAAAAAACTGTATGTCTAACTTAAAAACACAAGCAAATGATCAGAAGCTGTGGGCATCTGATGCAACATAATTGAGTTGAGGGGACTTAATGAGTTACTGACTAGAGCTTAATTTCTGTAGCTCATTCTTAGCTGGCACCAGTCATGATATAAACCACGGTTGCTTAATTCTCTTTCACTGCAATTTAAGCTAATACTCTTTTCTTCCTCTGGAGTGGACTGGGTGCCTGTTACCATGTCTCACCTGGTGAGTCCATCAGTTGAGCGTGACCCTGCCTCAGGCCCCAGAGTGCTGGGTGCCTCTGTGCTGCGTGTGCTGCCCAAGGGCCCCGGCCAGCGAGGGCTTGTACAAACCTGCTGGTGTGTCTGTGCCTGTGTGCACTTTAATTTATATCAATGCGAAGTTTTGATTCTGTATCAGTGTGAAGTAGTCGTGGTTGAGTTTCTTCTCAAGGAGCTTTCCAAGGAAAGGCACTTTGTCATTTTCCATTTTGGAGTTTGTGTTATAAATCATCTTTTGACTGGTTTCTCCTTTGTGGTTCTTGTCTGAAATTTTAGTCCAATCATATACTTTAAGAATCATCTCAAAATGATTTTCTTTATCCTTTGGAAATTCAATTCTTAGATCCTTCAAGGTCAGTAACACTGTTATCCTATTAACAACCAGCCCCTGACAAGAATCTGGAAATAGTTTGAGCTATTCCAACTTGACAATATACAGGCTGTTTTTATTTTGTATTCATTTTTAAAACAGGTAGCAGAAGTCTGGAAAAAATAATGCATTAGTAAAAATGGTTCACTGTAATTACACTTATATCTTCTCTCTATTTTATCAGTGATTACTTAAGATAATCTGTCTATGATACTTCATTTATTAGGAAGCCTAAAAAGACTATGTGGTGGATGCTTATTTTCGAACATTAGGAGCTGACTGTCCGTAACCCTACATTTTGAGTTCACTGCATTATTAAAATGGAGTTGAATTAAAACATATTTTTTTGTTTTTACCATAGTGTACTTTTTCATCCAAAGTGTACATTTTTCCTCTTTTCTGTTCTCATTTAAAATTCTGTTTCCAGAAGAAGAAAAAAGAAAATGGACAATTCTTTATCTATTCCTAGACTTTAAAGATTAATATTTCTTTGTCAGTCCTTCCCTTTCCCTGTGTAATGTCTTTGAAACATCATTAAACTTTTGAAGCTGGTGGATATGATTTGATGAAAGAGGTGGAGATGTTTAACCAAAAATTTTAAGTTTTTCCGGTAAATGAAAAAAAAAAAAAAAAAGAAATTCAAAATCAGGTCTGTATTTTCTGTTGCTATGTAAGGAAATTCCTTATGATTCTGGCATCTGTGGAAGAGGAGGAAGATACATAATAATGTTTTTTAATAGATTTTGTCAGTACTTTGTCCTGCTTTTCATTTTTCCTCTTTTAGTAACACAGACTCAATGAGATTTTTTTTTTAAGTAACAGCATGTAGAAAGTCTATATTATTTTTCTCTTTGTGGGTTGTTTTTATTTTCCCTCCACCTTCATCTCTTCAGGAAATGGGAGTAAAGATCTAGTTCTGTCCTGTATTTTCCATTAGATAAATCTGCTATGCAGCTTGCTGCGGTAGTCTGATCTTCTAAAGAACAGTAGCTGCAATTCCACAGCATTTTATCTCTGCACAGCCTACCAGAATGCTGCCATTTCACATATCCAGCAGTCCACATACACAGCTGATTCCTTGGCGTGACAGGAGAAAGTTTAATAGCAAGTCTGCCTATGGCAAATGTGAGATAGATACACAAGGGACAGAGGTGGTGCAGACTCGTCTCCTGGTTCTGCACAGCCAATATTTACCCATTGCCTTGTGTGCCATGTTTTGCGGTAGGTTCCCCCCACTGGAAGTTTCGACATGGACACATAATCTAAGGGAGTGGTTGCTTGGTACTGAAGAAATTTCTGGTCATCAAAAAAAAAAAAAAGTAGTACATTGGCATGTGGGAAGTGAATATTCTCACAGAATAGCTATCTATCCAACACAGCCCCATAAACAAGTTTTGGTGGAACTACTGCATCTTTCACCAAAAAAAAAAATGAACCAAACCAAAATGCGCTTGATGCATGATAGTGCAGTTTCCTTTTAACTTTAACTTGCAGCAGGAATATTAGGTTTTCTACTTTTTTATATAATTACTGTTCTGTAATTTTTCCTCTATAATTGACATGCATAGCTGTATGATTTCCTACTGGTTGAATGATTTGCATCATCCCATGTATTTTTTTGCTTGATGAATCTCTACTGTTACTATACTAGAAGGTTGTACAGTCTAGACACTCTTTGCTGCTGCTTTGCTATTCTCATTTACTCTTTGTTCACCTGATGAAAATAAGAGCTCTGTGCTCAGAGTGAGCATTTTCCATTTGTTACCTGTTTAACAGCACTTAAGGTGGTAGCAGGTCTTTTGCTGATACCCCTAATAGACTTCACACACATATATATATAACAGTGCTTTCTGCCTCATGTTGGTCTTTTTTATATAAATTACTTTTTTATATAAAGGACAATAGTCAAGGAAATAATGATAACCTTAGAAGCACAGACAGTCTGAGATTTCATGAAGTTTCAAACACAGCTTGGCCTTTCTTTTCTTTCTTCATCACATTGTCACCATTAGAATATTACATCTTGGGACTCTGGGAACTCTTCTATGATGTTAGTTTGTTAGTCAGAGTTGTAGGATATCACAAAGCAGTTCATTAAGATCTTGGATGATGTAAGACCAGAATCTTGTTCTGTCGATAAATCTGTAAAATAAAATGATAGGCAAAATACCAAGACTGGCTGTAAGTTGGATATGTTGTGTCAAAGGTATTTTTGCTGTAGAGAGGAAGTCAGGGGTTGACAAGAAACACTGAACTTTAAAATTCAAAATGATATGGCTGACGAAATTCCTCAGGGTTATTTTGACAATCCCTATTTTAAAACTCAACTTATGCTAGTAAGTACTATGTAATTAACCTTCTTTATACTTGCAATTCTGGTGTAAGTCTAGGCTGTCTTTTTAATGGCAAGTTTTCTTAATTTCAAAAAGAAAGTGTTGGTGTGGCAGTGGACTATGGCATGAAAATTGAAAAACTCTCCCATAGCTACATCATGCAAGAACAGTGGTGAGCAGTAGTTAATTATTCATTTAGTACTTGATCTCAAAAGGTGTTATTTTTTAAATGAATGCAGTGTGTGGCAGATACACCTAATTCAGTTAATCCACAGTGTAGTATAAAGTCTGTACATAGTCACCTGTCATTTAATTAAACTTTATAAAGAAACTGCATGCTTTTTCTTTCTTACTTTCATGTGTGTGGTGGTACTGTCATTATTATTATTAGTAGTAGTAGTAGTATTGCTAATTTTTATTATAATTTTTAAGTTTACTTTTATTATTCACATTTTCATGAAACTCATCTATTCAACCATTCCATTTAGTGAAATTGTTGGAATGGTGTCAAAGAAACTCCTTACCCTTTCTGTATAAATACACTTCACCATTACATTGCCTTCTAATATTCACATCAGTATTATTTTTGTCAAATCATGCCATTCTGCCTATGGGTTGGGATGCAGTGCTGTATTTTGACATAATGTCTGAAGATCAGTTAAGGGACACCTACTATTTGAATTATGAAATTATTTTACTGATACTGTTAGAAAGGCGGTTTTTCTACTTTCTGACCAATCTGCTTGGAATGGCATTGCTTGAAAATTGTCATCAACAGCCCAAGACTGTCCCTTAATTCACTTTTTAAAATTAAGTATCTAGCGTCCTGGTTAACAGCTTATACTTCAGCTGATGTTTACGACAGTGGGAGGAGTTAACTGGAGTCATTATCAGTAAAACCAGGTTAAAAGGTTGTATGCATTTGGTTACAGGTAAAAGCCTACTGACAGGTTAGCTAGGAATAGAGGGAAGAGAAAAAAATCAAGAGGTAGAGAAATAATTGAAGTAAATAGACAGAACTAGACTGAAGGATGGTGTTTGTGAATGAAAGCAAAGTAGCTGAGGTATCATAAGCCTGCCACTTATTTTCACCACCTATACCCTAGAACATTATAACATTTGCTGGTGTATATAAACAAAATGATTTGTGTTTCTCCTCCTGCAAACATACTATCCTAGTGAACAGTTTAGTATCTCAGTAGAATTGCCTACATGAATATTTTAACTAACTGAATATAACTCAGTAAACTGTCAGTGAGAAATGCAGCTTTCATTAAAACAAGGAGGTGAAACATTGCAAACTCATTTCATTTTACTGCTGGCTGAAGTATGCTTTTTTAACTCAGGGCAATTATCTTGGGTATGGGAAGGGGAAATGCCCTAATAGATGTTTTCTGGTCTGTTCTAATCTATTGATGCTTTTGCTTTTTAATCGTAGGTTTCTGTGCTCGAGAGGCAGATATTTGACTTCCTTGGTTATCAGTGGGCACCCATCCTGGCAAATTTTATACACATTATTATAGTCATACTTGGCTTATTTGGAACCATCCAGTATAGACCTCGTTACATAACAGGAGTGAGTATTTAGTTTTATTTACTTTTTTTGATGTGCATGTAAAAAAAAAAAAAAAAAAAAAAAAAAGTGTTCCAAATTCTGTTGCTTGTAGATGAAATAGAAATCTTATCTTGGTTTAACTTTCTTCCATATCTTACATTTACATATTATGCTTTTGAGACACCTGCAATAATTAAGTTGTAACAACCTACAAAAGTTGAAAGTTAATATGATCAGAAACTACATGACAATATGAACTTTCAAGAAGTGAAATCAGTTTAAGAATTACGGCATCCTCAGAATTATGGGGATTTAGCTAGAATAAATGTTAGCCATAACTTTCTTAGATACACTGGACCTCCCCAACAGATCTATGATTCGTTATAGTTACTCATTATTGTTATTAACAATCATTGCTGGAGTGCCTATCTGTTATGAACATCCCTCCTAGAAATTATACTCCAAGTTGAAAATGAAGTATAAGAATATGGTAAGAAATGCAAGTTTGATGGTTATGGACTGAGGGCTCTAACAGAAAAGTAAGGATTTGGACCTTTGTATTTTTAATCCATTTATTTTCCTTATTCAGCTACTCCACATACACAGACTCAGTACTGCTGTACTCTCTGGTACACTACAACATTAATGAAATCCACTTTTCATACTCATAGTTTCTTCTTTTCCCCATTTGTAGGTCTATAAAGATGGAATAACAAATCTGCAAACCATCATTCAGAACACCTTTTGTTAGAAATAGATTTTCATAATATTTCTATCAAAATTGCTAATTCAGTTAAAGCTTGTATACTTTTCAGAGACAGGCAGCAGTTGAAAAGATTTGCCCATACACAACCATGTTTTGATGTCAGGTGAAAATAACTCCACTGGATCTGTACCCATACCTGCAAAGTTTGTTTTCTCTTATACTGTTCCTTCATATACTAGTAATCACTCAGGAGGAAGAGAGGTTTTGCTTGTACCTCTGTTTTACCATCCATACTGCAAGTGTGATGCTAACAGTAATACATTAACATTTCTGTCTGTGTTTCTATCTCTGTGATTTCCTATATGCTGAAAATGTGCATATACATGTGTAATGTCTTTATGCATGCATGCAATTTAATATATTCAAAACATATTAACAACATAGAAAAATATATTGCAAGCCTGAAATATTTAGAGGGTTTCCTTCAAGTCACAACTCTCGGAGTCACATTAATCTAAACTGGAATTTTATTCTTCCATTTCTAGTGCTTTGACCAATACAAAAGGCTTGAAACAAAAAACCAACAAAAACAAAACAAAACTTGAAGCAAGTGTCGGTTAAATAAGAAGAGTTAAAAGTTCCATCCCAAGACTATTCCAAGGCATAAAAACGAGCATGAGCATAAAATGCTTATCTGAGATAAACAAAAAAGCTAGATTTAAATGGCCTTTTCAACAGGAGTACAGAAAATTACCTGCTACAGTGATGAATGCATTGTGAATGGAGATGAATACCAGCCTTATAAATAGATACCATTCACAGGAGTTTCTGGATGATATGATTTGTGCCACACCATCCTACTAATTTTCACACATAACTTTTCTTAGAGCTCACCCTCACAGTGTAGCCCATCTGGCTTTGTGAATTTACCTCCTTGTATCCTGTTATTGAATTATATAGAACCAATCTAAGATCAAATTGTCTTGCTCAGATTTTATAATAGACACCTGAATCTGCCATCTATCACAGACTGCTTAGATAAGGAAACAATGACAAAACTTTCATCCTTCATTTAACTGGATAAACAGAGGAGTGCTGTGAATTTTTCATTTCTACTGCTGCTTTCTTTGGAGAGTATCTAAAGTCAGGATGAGGGAAATGGTACTGGTCACTAGAGGAAGAGATAACGGAACAGCATTCTTTTATGGAGTTCTACTGGGCCTAGAATAGACACCTTGCTGAATCTGGGCAAAATTCAGTGGTGTCATGTGACATCAGGAATAAAGTTATGAGTGCAGAGGCAAGAAGAAAGACAACAGCCTTTAAGCCTGGAAGGGTGTAGCTATGAGGTTTTCAGGTGAGTGGATGTAAATACCCAGACTTCAATATATTCTGCAAGGGTCAATCTGTCTTGAGTGGACTCTACAGGACCCTTAATCCACAGCCACATTAGTAACTCAGGTATAGCTTGCTTCAACGAGACTACAATAAATTTCCTTTTTACTGTGCTTGTTTCATAAAGGATATCACAAAAATGTTTTCCAGAGGTTGTGAATCATAGGTTAAAGAGAGCAGGGAGATTTTAAGGTGAGATTTCAAGAAATGATTCAGTGGCTTAAGGAGAAGGGGAAATAAGTTTTAGACAGATGGGACACCACAAGTGAAAATGTGTCTTTGAACTCACAAGAGTCACAGGGAATTTTAGAAATGGGTGAGGGGGAAAGGTGACTGGTTTCAGGCCTTGAAAAATACTTCAAATTACACAGGATGTAGGAGTTGTGGTGAACAAAGAAGACAGGAAATTAAAGTTTAAAATTATCAGAGCGGTTAATCTTAATATAGTATTGGCAAAAACACATTCATTTTTGCTTGTAAACCTAAACTATTAACAAATAAGTGAGCAATTGATGCAGAAAGTGAAACATCTGATTTGAGTGTGGGAATGAGTGTCTTTTCAAATATATCTTTTCAAACGTTAATAATTAAATAAGCCTGTTTTTGTGAAAACAATAATGATAAAAGGACTTCTTAACAGCACTGTGCTGAAACAGAGAATAAGGATTTCAGTAGGAACAAAGGTTAGCCAGTATAATGACTGAGATGTAAATGTGTTTTTTAGCAGTGATATCATAGGATCCATCAATGCAAATGCCTGAGAGGTAATACCAATACAAATTATTACAGGTTCTGGAAAGAGGCAATGCTTTATCTCGACTTCTGTAAGGCTTTTGATATGATTCTCTGCAATATTCTGGCCACTAAATTGGAGAGGTATGGGTTTGACAGTTGGACTTTTAGATGGATGAGGAAGTGACCGGGTGGCTGCATCCAAAGAGTTATACTCAGTGGCTCAATGTCCGAGAGGAAACCAGTGACGAGTGGTGGTCCTTTAGGGGTCTGTACTGGGACCACAAGTATTCAGTGTTTTCATCAGCAGCATAGATAGTGGGATTGAGTGCATCCTCAGCAAGTTTTCAGATGACAGCAAGCTGCATGCAGTTAATTTGCTGAAGGGATGCCATGCAGAGGGATCTTGACAGCCTTGAGGAGTGGGCCCATGTGAACCTCATGAAGTTCAACAAGGTCAAGTGCGAGGTCCTGCACATGGGTCAGAGCAGTCCCTGATATCAATACAGACTGAGGGATGAATAGCAGCCCTGCAGAGAAGGGCTTGGTGCTACTGGTGGACTAAAAATTGGACATGAGCGCACATCAGTGTGCGCTTGCAGCCCAGAAAACCAACTATATCCTGGGCTGCATCAAGAGAAGTGTGGCCAGTAGGTCAAGGGAGGGGATTCTTCCCCTATACTTAACACTCCTGAGACCCCACCTGGATTGCTGAGTTCAGCTCTGAGGTCCCCAGAACAAGACAGACGTGGACCTGTTAGAGCAGATCCAGAGGAGGGCCACAAAAACAATTAGAGATGTTGAAACACCTCTTCTATGAAGACAGACTGAGAGAGTTGTGATTGTTCAGCCTGGAGAAGTGAAGGCTCTGAGGAGACCTTATATCAGCCTTTCAACATATAAAGGGGACTTTCTTATAAGAAAGATGGAGAAAGACTTTCTACCAGGGCCTGTAGTAGCAGGACAAGGGGCAATAGGTTTAAACTGAAAGAGGGTAGGTTTAGATTGAACACAAGGAAAAAAATTTTTATAGTGAGGATGGTGAGACACTGGAACAGATTTCCCAGAGAAGTCATGGATGCTCACCCTTGGAAGTGTTCAAGGCCAGATTGGACAGGGCTTTGAGAAACTTAACCTAGTGAAAGATATCCCTGCCCATGGCAGGATGGTTGGACTAGATGATCTTTAAAGGTCCCTTCCAACCAAACCAGTCTATGATTCTCTGATTCTATGAAAGAAAATAGTAAGGAAATGCCACTGAATTAATTGATGTTTTCTAGTTCCTACATTATGGAAAACCTTGACAATGTCATTCTACTGTTGTCTTAACATTTCTAGAAAGCATTCTCAGAATATAGGACAAAAGGTCCTGTTTGTTTTGAGTGGCATTCTCTTAACACAGGAATCCTCCTGACAGGTGAAGCCAACCTTATGGTTCTCCAGTGTTACAGAGATAGCACTGTAAAATTAAGTACTTTGCTTCTTCACTGCCATGGGAAGAAGATAAAGGAATGTCTAGTGGAGCTTGACAGTGACATAAACAGAGAAAAAATTTTGAAGTGAATTACGAAATACAAGAATTTGAGGAAAATTCTGTCTGGGACATAGATTCCACTGTAATTTTCACTGCATATTTATACCTCCTAGACCTGTTAGATTTACTTCTTCTAGAATTAGTTCCAATAAAGAGACAATTTTTGTACCATTTCGTAGGCTTGATTGAGGAGTTTTATAGACTGGTAAGAAAGGTAAAAAGCATTTGCACTGAAGAATAGATATTCCTGTCTTGATCATAAAGCCAAGATCCAATACCAATAAGAGATAAGTTTTAAACCAGAAGGGATTACCTTGTTTCAAACCGGTCATAGTCGGAGATTGTACAAATTGTTTTCTTGTAATGACCTATTCACTGCACAGTTCAAGTGGACTTTGGTTGTGTTTGTAGCAAAATTATGAAGTGGACAGCAATGTTACTAACATTTTCCCAGGGATTAATTTACTCTGTGCCACTATTTCCTCCTCTTAAATATAATAGTTACACCCCCTAATAATAGTGAACATAATAGGGACTCATACAGAGCACAATATACTAGCAGAAGAGAACAAGAATCTCAGTTTGACACAAAGAAAATTTGCAACCTTTAAGAGCAAAAAGAATCTTGTACGGGATAATACCTGGTCATATTAA